AGCAGCTCCACGTGGCTGTAGAAGGCGTGCAGCACCTGCCAGGCCAGCACCAGCGGGCTCAGCGCCAGGTTCACGGCAGCCAGTAGCAGCACCGTGCGCCGCCAGCGCGCTGCCAGAGCGCCCCGCTGGTCGCTGCGCTTGTAGGCGTCGTTTTTTTGGCCGCGGAAGAGGAGCAGATCGACGTTGAGGGCCAGGCCGCGGCTGAGGAAGGCCGCATCGCCTCCCCAGGGCAGCGCGCAGCGGGCCGGCAGCAGGCCCTTGTTGGCCAGCGCCACCTGGTAGTTGGTGTAGCGCAGGATGCGGTGATGGACGTCCAGCTCGGTGAGCGGCCGCGGCTGCACGCACAGCCCCCCGCTCCTCTGCAGCGCCAGGAGGCGCGACTGCACCTCAGCCCAGGCGACCGAGCTGAGCTCCTCCTGAGGACAGGGGACAGGTGAGCGCCAGCGACATGGACTCCTCCGCACGGTGATGCCCACACTCAGCACGACCAGAGCTACATCCCTCAGCGCCCTCTCCCCACCGACATCACCAGTGTCCCTCAGGCGCGAGAACTGTCACCTTCCGATTCCTACCTTCCCCTAAGCATGTCACTAACCAGGGGACACTTCCTACTTCCTTTCATCCTCTTCTGAATTGTGTTCCTCATGGCCCTGTCTCTCCTGAGGTCATGAGTCATGTGCTTCCCAGCGACACCTCATAAGTTAAACTCTTCAGGTATCTGATCTTAGATCCTTACGAGTAGATTTTCCTGAGCGCCCACTCCCCAGTCCAACACATAGAAGACACTCGGTGGCCTGCCAACGTCGGCCCTGAAGCCTCACGTCTCTTGTCCCAGTGTGCTTGGAGATCCCCACCCCATCTCATTCCTCTGCGCACCCCCCGCCCCGTGACCTTCCTAAGACACTGGTTGTGTCCCCCTCTGGGGTGAGGGGGCTGTCAGACCTCACTCGGATCTCATCTGCAAACCTCCTTTCAGCCCCGTTTCACCCAGCTTCCCCAGTCCAGCTTAGTCAAGTCCCTCTGGGCCAGCCTCTCCAGTCCATCCCAGGGTCTCCCCTTCCCCTGGAAGGAATAGGGGAAGAGGAAAAAGAAAGAAGGAGAAAGAGAAGGGTGAGCAGTGGTCTAACTCCTGTTCTCCCCTGCCTCTGCCTGGCCCTCCGGATCCTCCCTACACTGTGCCTAGTGCTCCTCTACTCAAGGGGGCTTTCTAGAACCTCTCCTTGGCTATGCAGGAGGGCGGCAGAGGCTGTAGACTTCTCGGTGGAGCAAGGGAAGCCAGCTGCAGAAGGCAGCCATGGAGCAGTGCCTTAAAGAACTGACATGCCGAGCAAGGAGCGTGAGCAAGACAGGGATGGAAGGAAGGGCAAAGCGAGATGGGACAGTGAAGGGGCCCGCACAGTGGGCGACCACAATAGGGGGTGAAGCCAGGAAGGAGAGTGGCATCACCTGGCAGGTGAACACTCGGCACTGCACACGGACACTCACTGCTCCCCGTCCCTGCGTTGAGGCCGGGACTGGCGCCCGCCTGCTGTCCTTCCCAGCCCACCCGAATTCCTCCTGCCCTGTAAAAGCCTGATGCCCACCCCTCCTCTAAATACCACAAGCACGTGACTACAAGTCATCATCTATAAATAACCCGTCTAAATGAACCAGGCCTCTAGGGTGAGGCCCGTGGTTTACTAGTGGTGGTACCCCATCTCTAACATTCTCGGGGGTCCAGGGTAGGTGTCAACGAGGCCTTCTGCCTGCTTTCCAGGTGAGCCCTTCCGTCTGTACGGCCCCCACTCCTCCCCTGTCCTCTGCCCCCTGACACGGCACCCCTCCGCACAGACACGCCTGCCCAGCTCACCGGGGGGATGTGCAGGGCCTCCCTGTAAAACACCTGGATGTCCCAGTAGCTGAAGAGGTTGCAGACTGAGCGAAGCAACTGGACCAGCCAGAAGGCTGCAGCCAGGATCAGGAGGAGAACCAGCAGGTGGCTGGAGTGGATCCTGGGGGCAGCGGTTGGGGGGGAAGGTGGCGTGAGAAAGTGGGACCCTCCCATAGAGAGGGAGATAGGACTTGGGGAGCAATGGAAAAGATGGACGGGATCCATCAAGACTAGGGATTCTTGAAGTGTGGGTCCTGGGGGTCCCCGAGACCCTAGCAAGTGTCTGCAAGGTCAAAACTGTTCAGATAACACGAATATTTTCTGTCGTTTTCATTTTTATTCTCTCGCAAGTGCACAGTGCAATTTTTCAGAGGCCGTGTGACGTCACACGGAATGCGTGCTTATGCGTTCTTAGGGTTTAAAGCCGTGATCAACTTTAATCTCTAATAAAGTAAACATAGAGATGATTTTCATAAACAAAGCTCTCGGGTCCTCAATCAATTTTAAGTGTATAAAAGGTGGTCTGAGACCCAAACCTTGGAGAACCACTGATCTACCCCGGGGGACAAAAGGTGGGGGTGGCTCTTATCTGCTTGTCTTTCCTACCCACTTCCCCCACCGGCTGTCACTCACCGCTGAGCACACTGGGACGAAGGCAGGATGGCATCCGACAAGGTCACCTTGCTGTGAGGCAGCCCAGGTCTTGTCCGGTTATTCGGTTGGTTGGCAAAGAGAACATTGTAATCCACGCAGCGAAGGAGGAAGGTCGTGAAGGCGACGATAAACACAAATTGTCTGAGACAGCAGAGAGCGTGATAATCAAGCCTGACGGCTGGGAGGGCTTCGGCCCAGCCTCCAGGCCAGTGCGGTTCTTCCTCCCCACAAGGCTGAACCCCTGGGCTGCCATGGGGAGCGGGAAGGCTGGGTAGACTAGAAGCAGCAGGCACTGCCGGGATAAGCATCTCACCCCAGCTGGAAGACATCCTCCAGCAGGATACAGGCAAAGCCGTTCCTCTGGTGGTAGCTGTAGATGTGGCAGGTGCGTCAAGAAATAAACCTGAGGCATGATAGGTCTTTCCTCCCCAACCCACTGAACCCTCAGAGCGCCCCCTGCCAAGAACAGCGCCAGCCCCAAAGGGCCCTCCCGTGCCACCACTGCCAGGCCCAGCACAAAGGATATCTTGGTGAAGAAGCAGTCCAGGTTCTGGATGTGGTGCCAGGAGCCTGGGCACAGAAGAGAAAGCGTTGGGACTCAGCTGTCATCTCAGTGAGATCACAGCCTCAACCCATTGCCTCAACCCCCAGGCCCTCGACCACCCACTGCCCCCAGTCCCACGCCCACATGCTCACCTCGGAGCCCTTCAGGCACATGAAGCAGGGGTTGCTGCTCCTCCCCATGGATGGGTGACTCCTGGGACCCCTCAGGGTCACAGTCCCCAAGACGCTCATAATCCTGCTCAGGGATCAGAGGGCCTATCCGCAGCCCAGGATTGTCCTGGGGGCATCGGCATGAAGGAGGGGGTGTCGCCGAGGCGAGGGGTGGGGTGGAATGGGAACCCCAGGAGTGGGGAGCAGAGATGGGAGTCATCACACGCCCACCCTGTGTTGGGGGTGTGGCTGGGGTGGGGAGGGCACTGTGGCAAGGCTGAGAAGCCCCTGGGGCCTGTGCCGCTGGGCAGGGGGACCCCAGGGCCAGAGGAGGAACTGAGGAAGGCACACTTCTTGTGTGAGGAGCAGGGGACAGAGAGAAGATGGAGACCCTCCCTCCCCCAGGCCTCCGACATGGAGGAGGAGGAAGAGGAGGCAGGGGCATGGGGAGGAGGGGCATCGATCCAGGCCCCAGGTCTCCCCACAGCCCCAGCCTCCCCCTACTCCCCCCCCAGCCCGTTCGCCTCACCATCAGGCTGGCACCTTCTCCTGAGAGTTTGTAAGGATGGGAGCTGCTGCTGTTTCCACAGAGGTCTGGGGAGCTGAGAAGGGACTTCAACAGGACGGTGTCAACAACAGCACAGTGACTCAGTTGGGGCAGGCCCCAGGCGTCCCAGCTCCTAGTCACCTGTCTAAGCACTCACACCCCCTTCAGAGCAACCTTTGGCCAAAGCTCTCAGGGCCCCGCCTCCATGCCTAGGAGAGGCGTCAGCTAGAGAGGCAGATGCTGAAAAGCAGCCAGAAGAGACACCTGCTGTCCCATCTTCAGACCTCGAGTGGATTTACAGGGGATGCCGGAGAGTAGCAGCCAAAGTAACAAAAGCAAAAAAGAAAACCCTATCAAAGGATTATAGGTCTATGGGGCCAAGATGTTAAATCTTTGATTAATTAAAATCTTGTCTTCCCTCCTTACACTCACACACACACACACACACACACATACACACGAGACACATACATAAGAGACACACCTCGAGTGGATTTACAGGGGATGCCGGAGAGTAGCAGCCAAAGTAACAAAAGCAAAAAAGAAAACCCTATCAAAGGATTATAGGTCTATGGGGCCAAGATGTTAAATCTTTGATTAATTAAAATCTTGTCTTCCCTCCTTACACTCACACACACACACACACACACACGCACACACGAGACACATACATAAGAGACACGCATACACACAAGAGAGACATGCACACACAGTGATCAACAGAGAAATGCTTTAAGACCAAAAACAGGATGAAAGAAAGAAAAGAAAAAGAAGAAAGGAAAGAAGGAAGGAAGGAAGGAAGGAAGGAAGGAAGGAAGGAAGGAAGGAAGGAAGGAAGAAAGGAAGGAAGGAAGGAAGGAGAGGGCTGCCTATTTTGTTTGTCTGATGGTACTAGGAAGGGAAGAGGAGAATGGAGAGGCGACTCTCTTGAATGTGAGAAGTGAGTTGTGGCGCTTAGAGTAGCAAAGTGGGGTTCCTTGGAAGTTCCATTATGTATAATTCTTTATCTTCCGGAATTGAAATCCTCTCCCCCAAGACCTGATCCAGTTTCTGGAGTCTCCTGAGAAGCATCAGGACTGAACCAGCAGAGGGGAGCTGGAGGTCTGGGGTTTGGAAGGCTAATTTAGGTGCCCAGGAACGAGCCGACCGAACTGTGTTCCTTATTGCCATTGCAATAAGGCGGAGGAGGAGGCCCAGGCAGCTAGCTGGTCAGGTGGCTTGTCCAACGCCATTCTTGAGGCCCTGAATCACCAGGTTTCCTACTGAAGCCCATGCCTGGGGTGCTGACTCAGCCACCCAGGTGTCAGGCCTCCAAGGCTTAGGCCTCTACAGGCCGGTATCCAAGACACGGAGCGAGGAACAGGGTGCTTCCCAGAGCGTCACTGGAGGAGTGTGGAGGCAATCATAGAACTGCCCACAAAATTTGAGCCCAGATATGCCTGTTTGTCCTTCTGTGCCTCCTTCCTGGGAGGGGAACTGTCATTCTAGTTCAGGACTTGCATAGTTTTATCCCTGATTAGAAGGCAGAGCTATGAAAACGAGATTTGCCCCTTCTAGCGGTCTCATCCTAATGCCCAGAATGGAATTACGCACTGTAGAGGGGCTAGGAATTTTCCATACTCTCTCCGAGACATCTGTCGAGATGGGTTATGAGGGGTTTCCTCTGATCTCTCCTCAACCTCGGGGCTCACCTCAGTATTCCACCATACTCACATTAGGATCCCTGCCATACACCCAGCCAACCTCAAACTACTTCTGGCACATTGTCTCACCCAGTTCCACCCCAGATTCATCCATTTACAGCCTCCCCACCACTTCCCTAGTTCAAGTCAATTTATTATTTATAATAATAATGGCACTTCTTCATGCCCGGCATTTGAAAGGGAAGCGGGGACGGATGAATGAGACGGAGCCACTACTCGAAAAGAAATCGCAGCCAGTAGGGGGAGGCAGCTACGCAAATAATTGCACGGAAGAAATAAATAAGCAGAGGATCAAGAGCCGTGCGGTGGAAGCCTTAAGCAAATTAGTCTGACCTGCAGTGAAGAAGACTCTTTGGGGGAGATGGGTCTGAGGTCGCGCCTTGATAAGCTGCCAGACCTCCATACCCGTAGTTCTCAATCGTTGAGTAGGGGGACCGTATCAGAATCACTGGGGAGTTTTTTCCTCAAATATACGAAGCTGCTGTCCCCGGAACTCTGACCCGCCTGGGAAAGCCGGGTGGGTTGCAAGGCACGTGCACGTGTTTCCAAAAACTTCTCCAGGCGATTTTTGTCATCTTCCCCCAGAACCAGCGCTCTACACTCCCTGGAGACCCAGGGACCTCTAGAGTCAGCCGGGAACACCGATAGAATGACCCGGAGGTCAGCGGCCGACGTGTTACTATGGGCACCCCAGGGTGGGGGGATGCACTCTGCACACGGTCAAATCGTCACCCCGGAGTTGTCAGGCAGCCGACGAAAGGCAGTGCCCTCTCCTGCTCGGCCCCGCCCAGAGCTGCGGGGAGGGCCCGGCTCTGTCCAATCACAGTTCCGAAGGGGGGAGGGCTGACAAGATTCTCTCCAATCACAGCTTACAACAAGATTGATGTGTCTTTCTGCCAATAATAGCCAAGGAGCGAGGGGTTTGTCGGGACGCGGCCAGAGCCAACATGGAGCCCTTGGTGGGATGAGGGTGAAACTGCTGTTGCCGGCTGCTCCTGTTCTCCTGCCCCATCATGATGTTGGTGCACTTATTTCGGGTTGGGATTAGGAGCTGCCCTGTCCCAGGCAGGTCGCCACTCCCTCTCCGCTTCCAGACATTCTCGGCTGTCAGGTAAAAAGGGACAAACCTACTGGAAGCGCGGCCCCATTGACCGGCCGGACATGGGGCCCGCCGGGAGATGGAGTTCCGGGCTCGCGAGAGGCCTGCTGGGAGTTGTAGGCCGACCTGGCCTGGGGTGGAATGTCACTGCCCAGAATATTGGCCTCAATTATTTATAGCGATGACCCGGGTGCCAGCGGGAGGCTCCGCGCATCTGTATCCGCCTGTGGGCGGACTGAGGGAACACCCTGGGTCGGTGACCACGCCCGGTCTATACTCCCCACCAGGGGGCGCCGTGCTGCAGAGGTGTTGGCCTTTCAGTCGCCGTTATGGCCCCGTCCTCTTTCCTGGAATTGATTTGGCGATTTGGATAAAAATTACTTGTATCCAGAGACATTTAGCATTGGTGGTGTTCCCAGGATTCTGAATAAGCTGAACAAAAATGGTTCCTAGATGTGATTAATTTTCAGCAGAGACAGTCACCCTAGTAACTTGTACATGTTACAGGTTACTTGTGTGTTCTTGTGTGTTCACTCTACACACGTTGTTCTAAAGAGAGACCGGTTGGAATCCAACAGGACCCTGAACTGAGACTCCATTGTAAATGCCATTTGAGAAGGATCTGAATTCCTTCTGATCCTGGAGCGAATAACCTGAGGGCCAGGCAGGCAGCAGATTCACAGGGCGGGTGGATGTGGGCTCGGGTCATTTTGAAAGTCCATCTGATTGATAGAGGGCAAGAGCCAAACGGAGCTGGAGCCAGGACGTAGGGCGCTGGGAAATAATACTCCAGTATTGGCAATAAACAAGCCCTGCTTCGAGTCTTAGTTTGGGGAAGATGAGAGAAGCTGGAAAGTGGCCATGGTAAATTATTAAAAGGTTTGAAAACCGTCCTTAGGAAAAGAGTAAGGGTGTTGATATTATTTAAGACAAAGAGAAACCCAAGGAAAGAGACCCAATAATATTCAAGTATTTGCGTATTCGTTTGTGCAGTGGTTTGCAGATCACAATACAATAGATCGTAAAATGAACTTAGTGGGTTGGGACCATTTAAAAGTGAATATAATAGAAAATAGAATACATCGTTAAAAAATAGAGAAAGTTTTTTGTGAAGCACTTCAGTTTTGTGTGACATGTATATATTCATTGTACCGGGGTGAATGAAGACATAACATAGAGGTGGCAAAAAGCCCAGGCCTCCCTGAAACTAGAGATGGATGAGATGAAGTCTGCAGTTAGGAGGACCTGGGAATAGAAAAGACCATCATAATAAAGGAAAACTTCTTACTCGCTATTCTTTCTTTAAAAGCCTTTCTCCATCAATCTCATTCGGATCTTCGATCCCACCATATACTCTTGGCCAGATAACTTCTGCTTCTAACAGCCTCTGTAGCCAGTCTTGTCTTCTTCCAGCCACTCCCCTCTGCTATGATCTTTAGAATGCAAAGCTGATTACGTCACACCCCAGCCTAAACAAATGGTCCTCATTGCCCTCCAAAGTCCATCTGTTTTATAAGGATTGTAATGACTGCTCCTCCCCACCCGCCTTTCCTGACTCCTTCAGCCTGCTCTGTGCTCCCCAAGTGCCCCGTGGGTCCCTTCCTTGAACTCTGCAAGCTTTGTCATGAGCTCTTTGAGCCCCCACTAAAGCGTGACCACCAGGAGGGTATTCGCTTGGTCCATCCTGTTCACCTGTTCCCTGTGCCTCATAGCAGAACTCTGCACATGGTGGGCACGCAGCCCTACACTGCCATCTGTAGATGTGGAAACCGCAGGAAAGAGAAGGTGATCTTGGCCTATCTGAGATAACAAGATATGTTATTTGGATTTCTATTTCCTTTCCTTCCTTCCGCTGACCAAAAGGAAGTGTCACCCTCTCGCTCCATACATTGTCACATAAACACTTGAGGCCTGGGAGGAGCCAGGGTAATGGGGTGCAGTAGAACTGACCAGTGGTCAAAAGATTTGGGTCCAATCCTGGCCCTGCCACACAGGGCCTTGGGCACGTCACACAGGGCAGAGTAGAATAAGCCTAGGCTCTGGAATCACGGCAGGGTCCTGTCTTGTCCCAGTTCTACTTGGGTACAAATTATTGGCTCTCTCAGCCCCATGTGATTTTTGCCATCTATCAAGTGAGAATAATGGCATCTCCCTCCCAGAGATGCAGGGATCAAGCACAGCGGGCCGTTAACTCGGTGACGCGGGGCCACCACGGTGGGTACTCTCCCTCTCTTCCCTCTCTGAGCCGAGTGCACTCAGGACTCTGTGTCCTTGTCTGTAAGGGACTGCCGTGGACTAGCTGCCTCACAGAGCGCCCTCCAGCTCTGACGTCCTGTGATCTGAAAGAGCAGGGGTTGGAGCAGGTCACTGACCCCGAGATTTCTCTAGAGGCCGAGAGGGCCTGGCTGGCTGAGCGACAGCCCGGGGAGAACACCTTTAAGACTTCGTCGCATGCCTCCTGTCATTCCTCAGCTACTCTGCATGTGTGTTTGTCTCAGGAACTGAGGTTGCTTGAGCTCAGCCCTGAGAAAGGCAGCGTAGGGCCTGGCAGAGGAGGAATGGAGCTTTGGGTTATCGTTCGGTTGAAGGACAGTCGGGGCCCGGAGCCATCAGTGCGATTCTCTCCCTACAGGCACTCCAGCGACCGCCATAGCTCCTACCTCCTCAGGGCCGTGGCCCAGCTGCGGTCCCAGCTCCGGGCCTGCCTCCCTCGAGCACCCCCAGCTCCCAGCCGAAGCCCCTCTGCCTGGTGCTGGGTTGGGGGCATCCTCCTGGGCCCCGTGGTACTGAGTAAGTGCCCCCGCCTCTGCCCTGTGGCACGGTGTGAGGCAGAAGAAGCCCCTCCCGCCTGCTCCGGACCCTGTGTCGGGGAGTCCCACTTTAACTGGAAGCTCTTCTGGAAGTTTCTGCGCCCCCACATGCTTGTTCTGGGGGCAGCCATCGTGGTGAGATCTTCCCCCACACCCTCAAAACCAGGGACAAGGAAGGACCCAGCCAGGGGGTTGCCGAAGCCCCAGCCAGAGCTGTGTAGGGACAGCCGCCTGCCTTGTTGAGCCTTAGCGATCTTAGGAGGCAGTAGGGGCTGGCTCGGGGACTAGGGCCCAAGGGTTACCTGTGCAGGGCGGCTGGGTGTGCAGGTTCAGGGCTCCCCAGGGGCTGGCAGCCTGGACTTTAACTCTCGAAGAGCCACAGGAGCAGCCAAAGCAGAGACAGCAGCAGGAGAGGAAGGGCCAAGGTCGGGGCTGGGGATGGGCGGCTCCCTTGTCATGTCTGCCTCCCCAACCTCAGCTGGCACTGGGCGCGGCGCTGGTGAACGTGCAGATCCCCCTGCTCTTGGGCCAGCTGGTGGAGATCGTGGCCAAGTACACGAGGGACCACTCGGGCAGCTTCCTAAATGAGTCCCGGACTCTCAGCACCCACCTGCTCATCCTCTATGGCCTCCAGGTACAGCAGCAGGGAGGGCCTGGGCGCAGACGCAGAAGCCCCCCCACGCCGGGCGCCCCTGAGTGCCGCCCCTCTCTCCCAGGGCCTGCTGACCTTCGGGTACCTGGTTCTGCTGTCCCGCATTGGCGAGCGCATGGCCGTGGACATGCGAAGGGCCCTTTTCAGCAACCTGCTCCGGTACTGCCAGCTGCAGGGGGTGGGCGTGGGACGGCCAGGGACCCCAGGGGTCCTGGCAAATGTCTGGAGATGGGGCCTCGTTCTGAGGTGACATCTCCCTCTCTCCCATCTGTTGCCCCCGTGTCCCACCACCAGACAAGACATTGCTTTCTTTGATGCTAAAAAGACAGGGCAGCTGGTGAGCCGATTGACAACCGATGTGCAGGAGTTTAAATCATCCTTCAAACTTGTCATCTCCCAGGTTAGTGCCCGGCGCAGACGCAGAAGCACACACACACACACACACACACGCACACACACACACACACCTGGGCAGATGCTCCAAGCCAGCCCCGCCCGTCTGTGGGCCCTGAGCCGAGGCTTACAGGGAGCAGGAAGCCTGCCATCTGGGGAAGTTCACGGAAGGGAGGTGCCGTGGCAGGGTCCAAGGTCAGGACGGGCTGCTTCTCTCCTGTCCTGAAACCCTACCTCCCCGGAAAACCTTCCCAAGGACTCAGACCGGAGCCTTTCCCTGGCCCGGCTTGCCAAGGGCAAAATCACCTGGCCTGCCGTGCCCCCAGAACGCCTGGCGCGCTGACGAGCATCGAGGAGGAAGTGGTGGCTTTTACGGGGTGACCGATGTCTTCTCATCCAGCCGTGATGGCCCCACGGCTGCTGGGTCACGGCAGACACGGCCCACAGCGAACCCACGCGACTCTCATTGTTCAGTTTCTAGAGCAGAAGGAGCAGCACACTGGGATCTGTCAGGGGAAGGAAGCCGTGTCCGTAGGCATTCTCACGCAGCCCCTTCACGCCTGCTGGGCAAGAAAGGTTTATGTCCTGCGACCAGCGGACTGCCAGTGGGCCTCCCACGGGTCAGTCCTGTGGCCTTGGCCTTGCGAGTGTAGAGCTGTAGCCAGCTGACCCTCAGTAATGTCCCCTGTGTCGTGCTGATGCCGGACTGCCTTCTTGCCTCTTTCCTTCTCCCCAGGGTCTGCGAAGCTGCACCCAGGTAGCTGGCTGCCTGGTGTCCCTGTCCATGCTGTCCACCCGCCTCACGCTGCTGCTGATGGTGGCTACGCCCGCCCTGATGGGAGTGGGCTCCCTGATGGGCTCAGCTCTCCGGAAATTGTCTCGGCAGTGTCAGGAGCAGGTACCAGAATTCCGCCTGTCCCCTCTCCGTCCCTCCCCACTTCCTCTGTGCCGGTCACTCCTCCCCATCTCCGGCCTGGCTCCCTCACTGCTGACTCCTTGCAGATCGCCAGGGCAACAGGTGTGGCGGATGAGGCCCTGGGCAGCGTTCGGACCGTGCGAGCCTTCGCCATGGAGCAGCGGGAGGAGGAGTGAGTCCCGAGCAGGGGCAAAGCCCGAGGCGGGGGTGCTTCCCGGTTGTGCTTTCAGCCACCCTGCACCCCAGCCCAGCTGCTGCCTGAGGCCTGCCTTGACCTCCGTCCCCAGGCGCTACGGAGCAGAGCTGGAGGGGTCCCGCTGTAAGGCGGAGGAGCTGGGCAGAGGCATCGCCTTGTTCCAGGGGCTCTCCAACGTCGCCTTCAACTGTGAGTGAGCACAGCCTCGCCGGGGGGCCCAGGCATAGCCAAGGAGGCGCTTGGAGGGACAAGGGACAGGTGAGGGGCAACTCTCATGTCCCTCAGATGTCTCTCGAGTACCAGGTGCCCGAGCCTGGTCACGCCGACAGGCAGCGGGCAGGTGGGCTGGTAGCACAGCTGAGCTGTGTGTAGCGTGCTGCCCAGGAGGAAGCCATGGAGGTGCCCCCTTCTCCTGCCCCTTGTTTCCAAACGGGGAAGCAAAGGTAGAGACCATTCAGGTGACTCACCAGAACTCCAGTCAGTCGGAGGCGCAGCAGGGCCTGAAACGGGGGGCTAACACCCGGGCCGGGCTCTGTCCTCTGCTCCCATTACCTCCTCCCTCACCGTCTGCCCCTTTCACCATGCAGGCATGGTCCTGGGCACCCTGTTTGTCGGGGGTTCCCTCGTGGCTGGACAGCAGCTGAAAGGGGGAGACCTCATGTCCTTCCTGGTGGCCTCCCAGACAGTGCAGAGGTGAGTGTGGGGCCATTCCCATGCCTAAGAGCCCTCCTGGGTCAAGGGACGGGGTGCCAGCCTGCTCTGCAGACTGCCCCACAGCCCCAGGCCAGCCCAGCTGCCCCGGCGAAGCCCAGGGCTGGGGAGGGGGTGCCCCACGCCCTCCACAGGGGCCCAGGGCTCACAACAGCCCCTCCAGCCTGATTCACTGACCACACTCAGAAATGCAGCTGTCACCTTCAACCTTCCGAATACCTCCGGAGTTTCCTCGACAAGCTTTTTAAAATTTCTTAATCATTTTTAAGCGTACAGTAGTGTCGCGCACGCTCACGCTATTGTGCTGCTGGGATCACTATCCATCTTTAGAATGTTTTTATCTTACAAAACTGAAATGCCATCTCCGCTAAACAGTACCCTCACAGCCCCCCGCCGCCAGCCCCCGGCAACCCCCATTCTGTTTCCTCTCTGAATTCGACTACTCCGGTACGTCCTATAAGTGGGGTCACACAGTCTTTGTCCTTTGCGACTGGCTTATTTCACTCAACATAACGCCTTCCGAGCTCATCTTAGCACGTGTCAGCATTTTCTTCCTGTTTAGGGCTGAACAGGAGGCAAGGGAAGGATGGACCATCTTTGACCCGCCTCTTATGAGCTGGCCCGCCATCCTCTGCCTGACTTTCTCCCTGCACCCCCACGCCAGCGTCTCGCGGAGCTCATGCTCAGATCTCCCTGCCCCTAGGGGCCCCGTCCGCCGGCGGGCAGCCCGGAGCTGTGGGCCGACTTTGCCACGAGACCGCCCAAGGCCTCCCCTTCCCTGCCTCTTCCCAGCTAAACACTGGCAGTTCCTTCTGCCGTTTCTTTTCGTTTGCCTTCCCCCACGCACGCATAAAAATACGCGAGACGCAGCCACCGCACGCATAAAAATACGCGAGACGCAGCCACCGCAGGCATAAAATACGTGAGACGCAGCTGCACGTTACGATAGGTAACTGAGGAGTGAGTGTGCCGTGATAAGCCCTTGAAGAGTGGAGACCTGTGTCGCCTCCAACCACGGCAAGGAAATAGAACGTCACCCCAGGGGCCCCCTCTGGGCCTTCCCTATCGGCCCTGATTCTGATGGCGCGTGTGGCCTGGCTCTGAGTCGGGTCTCACCGCCTGCTTCTTACGGAATCCCTCCCATCGGCCTTATTGTCCTGGGGAGAATGGAGCCATCCCAGAGGTGGGCAGGCAGGAAAGACTCCTGTCCTTGGCCCCGTTTCTGCCCGGTGCTCTCTAATTGGGGAGAATGGAGCCATCCCAGAGGTGGGCAGGCGGGAAAGACTCCTGTCCTTGGCCCCGTTTCTGCCCAGTGCTCTCTAATCTAGGCCCCTCTCTCTGGTCTCCTCCCGGGTCTTGGGGGGCCCCATCCCCCCCCCGCTGCCCTTCCTCCAGGCTGACCTTTGGCCTCTTGTTTTAGTCCTAAGGACCCGTATGAACCCCACTGGCTCCCTTCATGTAGTCACCCCTCGGCCTTCACGGGGCAGTGGCAGGAAAAGTCTCCTTGGGGAGGCAGCTGCACCCCACGTCTGGCCCTCCTCCCTCAGACTCACCTTCCCCTGGGCCCCCCACTGCTCTGCCCTCCCCACCGCTCTGCCCAGCCAGCTAGTGGAGCTCACGACAGACAAGGAGGCCAGGGGCTCGCGCACACTGTCGCGGGCTGCAGGGGGGCTGCTCCTGCCTTTCGGAGGGCCCTCACCTCACAGGGGTTCTTAACCACCCCCCTGGGAGGAATTGGGTCTCATTTTATGAAAGAAGCTGGTGCGTTTCCTCTTGGGGTCCAGCAGGGGAGTGGGAGAGGGGAGGGGTAGGGAGGCAGCGCTGGAGCCCCGGAGGAGATGGAAAGATGCCTAGACAGACCACAGTCAGGGCCAGGCCGCCTAGTCCCAGTCCTGAGAGCGGGCTGTCCCCCCAGCACACTGCCGCCGGGCCCCGGGGGAGAGCCCAGGCCTGACTTCTGAACCGTCTCTGAGAGCAAGGTCATCGCACACCAGCGAGTCATGTGCGTCTGGGTTTCGGTTGCTGCCCGGCACCTCTGCCAGCACTAATGGCTTCCGTATCTCTCGTGGAGAATGTCGTCCCTTCTCCTGCACAGATCTCTCGCTGTCCTGGCTCTTCTTTGCTCGATGCCTCCCCCCCGCTTTGGCAAGTGCTGACAGCTCCGAGCCTGCCGGAACCATATCCCCTCCCCCACACCCACCCCGGGCTGGAAGCAGTGACGCTCCTGAGGAGTCAGTCTTTCCTCGGGATGGACCTGCACACACGATCGCAGACGCACACACTGTGGCCCGTGACTGGTGACTAAGCAGTGACTCACCTGCCTCCCAGCCCCGGACAGCCCCGCATGATGGAGGAGGCGGCCTGCTGTCTAGACAGATACGCACTCCCACTACCCCGTACCCAGGGCTAGCCCACGGTAAAACATCTCCAGTGAGTTCTGTTTTGGGGTCCCCCCAGAGTTCCCCCTCTGGTCCGGTGTCTGTTTTCCTCTTTCTCTGAAAGGGTGACCATCCTTTTCCCACCTTAATTAGTCCTGCTTCCGCCAGGAGTTGTCAGCGCTGGGTCTGACCTGCCCTTGGGGGCCTCACAAGCCTGACCGCCATTCACGGCACTGGCGCCACCCATGCGTGCGGGAGCCAGCCTCTGCCCTGAACTCTGCGGGCCATATGGAGTCCAGCCCCACCGCGCCCTGGAGCCCCCAATCCTGAGGGAGCTGACAGTCAGCCCCGTCCGGCCCAGGAGAGGATGTGGCTCTGAGGAGCAGGGACCTGCCCGGTGGCCTGCCTGGTCCCAGGGCTCCTGCGGCCCCAGATTCCAGGAGCGCCTTCTGCGCTTGGCTCCAGCCCAGCTGTTTCCTTGCCTCGCCCACGTGGCCCCTGTGTGGCCAAGACCCAGACACCCTCGAGCTGACCTCGTCTCAGGCGCTTCTTGTCCCCACTCTCTCAACCCTGCTTCTCTGCTCCTCACAGGTCCATGGCCAACCTCTCTGTCCTGTTTGGTCAGGTGAGTGGCAGTCGGGAGTGGGTCTCAGGGTGTGGACACTGGATCTGGGCTGGAGTCCCATCAGCCACCGACGTCACTTACGTGCTGTGAGAACTGGCTGTCGGGCAGAGGGGATAATGTATCATCGGCCAGGAGATGCTACTGTCACTCGCAGCCATTCCTCGGACCTGGTGCCCCCTCACCGTAGACTAAACCCCTCCCCAGGTGGTGCGGGGGCTCAGTGCAGGCGCCCGAGTCTTCGAGTACATGGCTCTGAGCCCGTGCATCCCACTGTCGGGGGGCTACTGCGTCCCCAGGGAGCACCTGCGCGGGGCCATCACACTTCACAATGTCAGCTTCAGGTCAGTGTCAGCGGGCGGGTGCAGGGTCCTTCCCTCCAGGCTGAGGATAGGAGGGGAGCCTGGCTGGGGACCTGTGGGCCTACGTCTCTAAGCCCCTCGGGTACAGTGAGACTTCGGGAGGGGCTGGGGTGACAAGGGGCCAGGAACCTGGTCTCACTGAGGTTGTCTTGGCTCCTCCCAGTTACCCCAGCCGCCCTGGCCTCCAAGTGCTCGAAGACTTCACCCTCACGCTGCCCCCTGGCAAGATCGTGGCCCTCGTGGGCCAGTCCGGCGGAGGTAAGAGGGACCGGCACCCCCCACCCTGTGGCTTTCCCCCTGTGGTGGCCACTCAGAGCGGAGCCACTCCGCTGCCACCATGGGTCCCTCTCTCCTGGCAGAGTCTCCGGGAACCCGTGCCCCCTCCCTAAGTGCCCCATGTCCCCAACGCCCCAGGAAAGACCACCGTGGCTTCCCTGCTCGAGCGCTTCTACGACCCCACGGCGGGCACAGTGACGCTGGACGGCTGGGACCTGCGCACCCTCGACCCCTCCTGGCTCCGGGGCCAGGTCATCGGCTTCATCAGCCAGGTGCGGGCAGCAGGGCCTTCCTCGCCACGCGGGCCACCCAGCAGTGTCTTTGACGTTCACTCCCTCCTCCCCCGACCCTGCTTCTCTCCCAGTCCTATGGCGCCTGGGCCTTCCCTCCTTCCCAGCCTGTCACCCCTGCTCTGGAGGGGCTCTGGCCTTCGCATGTTCTCCGCTGTTCCTCGGGGTCTGAGGCTTCCGCGTCCCAGGCCACCCAGCTCTGCCCTCGTCTCCCTAGGGTGGGAATGCTGTTCTCGAGTAAAGCTGGCCAGGCAGGCGGGGCTGGCATGGCTGTCCTAGGATCCCTGGGTTCACTGACAAGCCCATGGGGTCCGGAGTCTAGAGATGCCCACGTGGTGTTGCTGGGGACTGCTGGTCACCTGCCCATCCGCTAAGTCAGGCCCCGCCCCTTTCCCTCAGCTTGAGGCGGCAGTGCCCCAGGAGGCCCAGCTCCCTGTGTGTGCAGCCAACCTGTGCGGGCTGCCACCGCCGCAGAGGAAAGCCACAGTGCAAGGCTCCGCCCTCCCCATCTCTCCAGGGAGCGGGGCTCTGCAGGGCCAGGTGGCCTTGCTCTCCCTGCCACTGTCCTGCTCCCGCTCCTGAGGGGCTCCGTGCCCGTCCCCCATGGACCTCTCTGTTCTCGTTTGACCTCTGCCTGAACTGCCCCTGCCTGCCCTCCAAGGGGCCCTGGTCTGGCCAGAGTAGCCTTTCCCGACATGCCGCACGGGGATTCAGGGCAAAATCAGAACGTTACCTGTGGACTCCACCCCCACCCCACCCAGGAGCCAGTCCTGTTCGGAACGACAGTCATGGAAAACATCCGTTTTGGGAAGCCGGGCGCCTCCGATGAAGAGGTTTATGCGGCCGCCCGGGCAGCCAACGCGCATGAGTTCATCACCAGCTTCCCTGAGGGCTACCACACCATCGTGGGTGAGTGCCGGGGCCCAGGGCGCAAGGCCGGGGCTCGAGGCAGGAGCACAGGCGGCGTCAGGGAAGACCAGACCGGAAGTGTGGCCGAGGAGGACGGAGACGGTTCTATGGGGGTGGAGGTCCAGGCACAAGCAGGCTGCAGAGGCAGGAACACGGCAGTCACAGTCAAGTGCTGCATGACGACATTCCAGACAGTGACGGACCGCACGCAGGACGGTGGCGCTGCATGCAGCGAGGCGTGTGGTGGCCTCTTCCGCCCGGGTCTGTGCGAGGCCACACTGACGTTTGCAGATGGACCTCAGAACGGACCCCGTCATTGAGCACTGTGTGACTATACCAGACCAGCCAGGGACGCGGTGACCCGTGCTGTTGGGGATCTGCAGGGGGTACCGGGGGCCTCTGCATCCCAAGACCCGACCCGCAGTGAAGGACGTCACTGCCGCGCGGTCGCTCATTCTCCAACTCCCATGTCGTGCTAGTCCTCTAACTTGAAGCTTCGTCCCTCATCATCCACGGGGTTGATTTGGCGAGCAGGCCTGTCCCTCCGCTTACCCAGGACGGGGCTCCGGAGCCTCTGGGCTCTGCTGCAGGACGTTCCCACATGACTCAGGGTGCCGCATGTCTGGGCTTCTCAGTGCTTCTTGACACAGGCCGCAGTCTAGCTGAGCCCCCACCTCCGGAACGGTGACCCCCGTGTGGCCGCCCTTCACGTCCTGTGTGACTGACCCAGCGCACTTGCTCACTGCCCAGATTCCACACCGCCCTGACTAAGGAGCCACGCTCACACCTCTCGTGGGTGCCACTTCCTTGTACCTCTGACTCAGCAGCTCCCAGGCTTCTCTGGGACTTCAGTCTGTCCCTTGCTGCTCTGTGACTACAGTCACCTTGAGGTTCTTTTTGGCTCCCAGGCTGTCATCTATACAGTTCTCCCCAAATGTGGTCTCCCCAGAAGGCCTGGGTGGTGGGCTTCACATCCCACTTTGCTGTCACCTCACTCCAGCGCTCACATCTGGGTCCTGGATGTCCCCACAGCACCAGAGACCCAGGAGGCTGGGGAGAGAAGCTAAAGCCGCAGGTCCCATCCCGGCTCAGACCCTGCCCTGGTGCAGCAGGGGCACCGGGTGACTCCTGAGGGTGCCCTGAGCCACACCACACGTACAGCTCACGTCACCTTGCATGAGCGCCCACACGTGCACAGGGATGTGGGATCAGATGCTGACAGGTGACGCCCCTGCCCTTGCAGAGACAGGACAAACGCTGACAGGCCAGCGGAGGAGCCTGACGGGCCGGATGAGAAGTTCCTGACAGACCCAGGGCTCCCTTGGGGGGCCGCCTCCAAGTGCAGAGCTGAGGGTCGCTTCAGGCCCCTGCTCTGTCCCTTTCCTCCCTAGGTGAACGGGGCGCAACCCTGTCTGGTGGCCAGAAGCAGCGCCTGGCCATCGCCCGCGCCCTCATCAAGCAGCCAGCGGTGCTGATCCTGGACGAGGCGACCAGCGCCCTCGACGCGGAGTCTGAGCGGGTCGTGCAGGAGGCCCTGGACCGCGCCAGCACCGGCCGCACCGTGCTGGTCATCGCCCACCGGCTCAGCACTGTACGCGGGGCCCACCACATCGTTGTCATGGCCCACGGCCGTGTCTGTGAGGTCAGTGGGAGCCTGGGGAGTTTGAGTCGTGGATGCGGCGGAACAGTGGCTGAGCTATGTGGGGGTCTGGCCTGGGCCTGGAGACTTCAGGCTTCTCCTGGATTTACGAGTCCCTGCCCTTTGGTAAACCCTGGCCTCTCAGGGCCCCGGTGTCCTCCACATCCCCTGGGGTCATCGAGCTCACAGAGTCACAGGGAAGTGGACTGTGACGGGCTGAGGTGCAGAAGAGGCAGCACCACAGACTGGCCGGTGCAGCACTGAGCCTGGGTCTGCCGCAGGACTTGGAAGCCGTGTGGGGCTTGGCCGTGAGCTGGAGTCTGGGCTCTGTAAGGAGCCGGGAGCACTCACATGCTCTTCCAACATCCACCTAAGCAGGGAGGTGGCACTTACAATTACAGATGTGCCAGTGGCGTCTCTAACCAATGGTGCTTTGGTTTCATAGTGTCCCCAGGAGGGACACTGGCCTAGGTGACAGTGAGCCCGATGGCTGATACGAAACCAGCTTTCCTAGGGCCCTGGACTCAGAGCTGGTCAGGTGACCATCTGCCCCCCTTCTTCTCCAGGCGGGGACCCACGAAGAGCTCCTGAAGAAAGGCGGGCTCTATGCCGAGCTCATCCGGAGACAGGCCCTGGACGCCCCACTTCCTGAGGCGCCCAGAGGCCCTAGGAACCACCACCCCAAGTCCTGAGAGCAGCCCTCTGCAGGCCGCTCACTGCCGGGCATTAGTGCCTGGGGCCGGGAACTGAACCCCCAGGAGGGCCAACGTGCTGGGCTGTGGGCCACCTGCTCACGATAAACTCGGGCCACGCACTGGACGAGGAGGAAGGCGAGACCGCTCCCACCCACTGCCCTCCTGCCACCAGGCTGCCTCCCTCCTGCCAGAACCACCGGCTCATGCGGCTGCACAGGGGAGGAGGCAGAGCCCCTGGGCCCTGTTCTGTCCCCTCCCCGTGCACAGACCCTCCCCACCCCTCTGAGGAATTCTGCTAAGTGTCCCCTCTGCCTGACAGCCTGAAGACGTCCAGGCCCCAGCTCTGGGGGGACTTTACAAATTAGGGTCAGGGACTGGGCAGTGAATTTACACTGGGGTTCTTCCCCGCTCACGCCCCAGGACCTCCCAACACCCCTCTGTCCCTATTGCCTCCCTGGGCCCTGGGAGAAGGAGCCCACCCCCTGGGCCAGCCCCTCCAGCCCACAGTCCCCATCAGGACAATTTCTCATCCTTCATATGGTCCTTATTTCTAGATTTCACCCTCCTCCTATCCACATGGGACAGGTGGCCCTCAAGCAGGAGAAGGAGGGATGGGGTGTCTCACCTGGAGTCTGTCACCTGTTGAAATTGTGGACAGCTCCCTTCTAAATGAGGGCACTAGTTTCGAAGGGGACAGAGAAGGAGCCGACACCCCAAACTCCAACCTCGGGGCATGTAGTGCCCATAGTCACCAAAGCATGAGGAAAGGACCAACACTAAGTCCCTTGGGCTGACAAAGTGCAGAACCAGCCTGAGGAGGGACGGTCACCAGGCCAGGGGAAGACGGGACCGGAGCCTCACCCTGATGAAGGGCTGGCCGACCACACAAGTGGCATGAGCCCGTGGCCCCGAAGTGGTGACCGGGGTGGGGCTGGCTTCCGTCAGCCTCTGAGGACCTGAAGTGGCCAGGGTTCCCCACCAGCGCGTGTGGACTCCCAGAGCCGGCCACCCTCCTGCCCTGGTTCTGCCCACGTCGCCTCCCACCAGGCAACCTCCCCCTTCTCAGCCACATCCAGCCGAGGGCCCACCGAGCCCTGCTCCCTTGGGTGGGAAGAATCGCCCGTGCTGGGCTGTCGGGGCCAGCCAAGCATTTTGGGTCTATCTTGTGGCGCAGAAGGGGGTGGCCACAATTGCAGGACAAACAGAGTTGGCTGTGGCTGAAGGCCAGCTTGGAAAAAGTAGCAGCGGCTCAGGGGTGAACGCGGGAGCCAGGTGAGAGACCCCACAGCCTCTTCTGGGTGTGGTTGAGGACGAGATGCTACTTTGGGGACAGACCATCCAAAGCTTACCAGGGCCACAGCCCCCCTGCTTTGGTAGATCCCTTGCTGGCCGACCGGAGGTCGCAGCCCAGGGCCATGCTACTTTGGGGACAGACCATCCAAAGCTTACCAAGGCCACAGCCCCCCCTTGGTAAATCCCTTGCTGGCCGACCAGAGGTCGCAGCCCAGGGCGCCTCAGCCCAGGAAGCTGAACATGGGCCTGGCTCTGGGTTCTCTGGCCACTAAACACCTCCTAGTGCAGCCAAGAGCAGCCCTCGGCGCCCCGGCCAAGTTCATGCTGGTGGGCCGGCGCCTCCCTCAGGAGAACCAGCCAAGGCCAGTTCCTGCTCCTCTACCTCCAGCCTCTGACACCAGATTCTAGGTCTCTCCATACCCCTCAGGGCGGCCTCGGAATCCTGCCCCCACCCCCAACTTCAACTAGAGAGGTAGTGAGGTCATGGAGCCTCCATTTAGGAAGGCCGTGCTGTCGGCATGTAGCCTCGACCTCGACCTTGGCTCCTGCAGTTATTCAGTGTGGATTGTAAGCCTGGTTGTGCTTAATCTTGAAAGCTTGTTTTAAGAGTTTAAATGGGATGATTTGTGGTAAAGTACTTGAAAGTCACAGGGCTGCAGCCTCCGAAGGTGGTCACATCTGTGCAATAAACCACGTTGTCCACTCTGTCTGAAATGTGTTCATTAAGCATCAATCGTGTGATGGGGTGAAGGACAGTCCCTGCCCCCTGGAGCCTGCAGTCTTGTGAAGACAGACAGGTGGGCAGGCGATTGCAGCAGTGTGAGCGTATTTGGGTGGCGAACTGTCGTTTCTTCTACTCCCGGCCAAGAACCCAGCAACGTGAACCTGGTGGCCTCAAATGCTTCGTGAAAAGAGAGGAAATTAATGGAGAGAAACCTGCTTTCTCTCAGGTGCAGTGTCTGTCTCCCCATCCCCGAGTCACAGGGTGGGGACAGGTGAGCGTTAACCAAACACGAGCTTGACACGAGGACCAGGCTCTGACACCACCCTCCATGTGGCCTGTCTGGGCTGGTTCCTGTGGCCCTCAGCCGCCCGGCCCTCCTGCTGCTGTTCCTTGTCCTCTGCTCCTCGGGTCCCCAAGACACCCTCGTCCCACTCAGCGGCACTCATCTTGCAGACTGCGCTCTGCTTTCGGGAGGCGTCTGCTCCAGCCGTGGGGAGATTGCACACCGGCCATCGTCCTGGACCCCGTGAAGCCTCTTCAGTCATTTGTGCCGGCTCTGCCTTCTCGAGGCCAGAGTTGTCACACCATGCTAGCCACTGTGGCCCAGGGCACCCCAGCTGACTTAGGGGGACAGTATCTTCCTTCAGAAAAGCCCCATGCAAAACACGCGTACTCCCACGCCTCTTCTGGGAGTGCAAAGCGGTGTGACTCCTGTGGCCGGGGATGTCGTGGCGTGTGTCAGATGGCCCACGCAGTCGCCTCTTGACCCAGCACTTCTGTTTCTGGGAGCCACAGCTGTGCGGCGTTGCTGAGAGCACTGTTTGTGATGCAGGCTGGGAGCTGGGACCCCCTCGGTGTTCGTCATAGGGACGTAGTGACATAAACGAGGGTGCGTCCACGTATGGAATGAGCGGTACGCAGCCACTGAAAACGGGGGCGTTTTCCAGGTCCAGGATACTGCGTGGTCCCCAGAATGGTGAAAAGAGATGTGAAATCCTAGGGTCTTCATATTATACCTGGGAGCTGGACCACGTTACCCGGGAGGGTGGCATGCGCGCCCCCATGTTATTCCTGGGAGGGTAGCAGGTGGGCCCACGATCACTGTGGTAGAGGCCAGCGTCCCAGACAGGAGGGCCTGAGTGTGGGTGGGGGGAGGGGGAGAAGAGGCTGACTCAAGAGACAGACCCCCGCCCCAGACATGAGACCTAAAGAGCCCCTGGTCATTGGTATAGGCTGGGACACCAGGGCTCAAAAGAAGGAGGCGGCCGATGCCAAACTCCCCACCACCTTCCAGCCTGGTCAAGAGCCAGCTCCGCTCTTAGTGAAAGAACAATGACCCTGAAGAGGTTAGTGGGGAGGGAGGGGTCAGGAGGAGGGAGGGGCCAGGCCAAGGGCCAGTGACTGACTCTCGGCCCCACACAGAGGGGCTGCAGCTGGGAACCCAGAGGCCCCGAGGGCACCCCAGCCCCATTGTCTCTGGCTCCCCTCAAGCCCCACCAGGGCTGCTGTGGTTTCCTACTGGCGCCTCTGGTCTCTTCAGCCAAGGCCCTCCCCACGCTGCACTAATGGCTCAGCCTGGGGCCCCGGGGACCTCCCCGCCCCCCAGGCCACTCTGCCAGCCCCCTGGCCCCCTCACTGCTGAAACCCAATCCTCTGCGGCAGCTCTGGCTCAGCAGAGCAGCAGACCGCCCTGCACGCCACGCCGGCCGCGCCCTACCTGCTCTCTGCTGCGCAGCCCCCAGCCCAGCACCGAGCCCGGCAGAGCCACAGCCTGTTCCCGGACAAGGCCCCCTGGACCCTGTGGGCCACCACATCCAACCCAGCCAGGCCAGTGCCTCCCCACCTCCTGGGCTCGCTTCCTCTCCTCCACTTCCTCTCTGCCTTGCACCTGCACTGACCCCCTCGGACGGGCCCTCTCCTCCCTCTAAGCCCCTGTAGCCTGGTCACCACCCCCAGGCCGCTCAGTCCCCCCACCTCGGCTCCTGCCATGAAGCCCCTCTCAGGGGCGGAGGAGGCCCGGCGGCCGGCCTCGGACATCCGTGTGTTCGCCAGCAGCTGCACACTGCACGGGCTGGGCCATGTCTTCGGCCCGGGGCGCCTGACCCCTCGCCGGGGGCTGTGGGCCGTGGCCGTGCTCCTGTCCCTGGCTGCCTTCCTCTACCAGGTGGCGGAGAGGGTGCGCTACTACGGGGAATTCCACCACGAGACGGCCCTGGACGAGGTCGAAAGCCACCAGCTCACCTTCCCGGCCGTCACCCTGTGCAACATCAACCCGCTGCGCCGTTCACGCCTCACGCCCAACGACCTGCACTGGGCCGGGCCAGCGCTGCTGGGCCTGGAGCCCACCGAGCACACCGCCTTCCTGCGCGCCCTGGGCCGGCCGCCCGCGCCGCCCGGCTTCATGCCCAGCCCCACCTTCGACACGGCCCGGCTCTATGCCCGGGCCGGGCACGCCCTAGAGGACATGCTGCTGGACTGCCGCTACCGTGGCCAACCGTGCGGGCCCGAGAACTTCACCACGGTGAGCTGGCCACCCGACCTGTCTTACCAGGGACCCCAGAGTGCTGGCCAGTCCCTGCCCAGGACCTGCCATCCCCAGCCTTGTCAGCCCAGGCTCCCCCAAAGCCAGAAAACCTCAACGCCCATGCCTGAGGACCCTTTCCTCCCCAACCAGGCCACAGCCCCCCCACCCCCCACCCTAGTGCCTCTCTGTTCAGCCCAGGAAGCTGTCCATGGGCTCTGCTGAGGTTATGCAGCTGGACAGTGGCGTGCGATGTCACATCTCCCAGCATGAGGCACTTGCCCAGAGTAGCTGCGGGCCCCAGGGCTGGTCTGTGGGGACCCTGCTCCTCGGGGTAGCGGGGACACTAGTGGGACTGTTCTAGGGCAGAAGACCCCTCTCTCTGCTGAGGCGGGGGCTGGTTTTCCCTCTGCCTCTTCAACATTCTGTCAGTCCTGGAGGAGGGCAGCTGGGACCCATGCCTTTCACCCCAGGCTTCGAAAAAACACTTGCCCTGTGGGCTGTGCCCTGTGCTGGGGAGGAAGAGGAAGATGGAGTGATGGGAGCCCGTGAAGTCCGACTACACCTGCCTAGATGAGGGAGGGGCTGGGGCATCGAGGTGTAGGTCTCAAAGAGGAGACCCTAACAGAGGAAGAGGAAGGGACAGGTCCCACGGCCCTGTCTGCCCGGCTGGGCTCCTCGCCCTCTGGTGAGGTCTGCCCCTGTCTGCCCACCCTCAGACCCTCACCCGGATGGGTCAGTGCTACACCTTCAACTCCGGTGCTGACGGGGCAGAGCCGCTCACCACTCCCAAGGGCGGCATGGGCAACGGGCTGGAGGTCATGCTGGACGTGCAGCAGGATGAGTATCTGCCCGTGTGGAAGGACATGGGTATGGAACACGTGCATGAGGCTGAGGGCAGTGGGCAGGGATGGGCTGCAGAAGGTTCCGGGAAGGAGAGGAGGTGCTGGGGTGTGACCTGTAACACAGACTTTCTTGTGAGAAGGGGGTGGGCAGGGTTGGCTCATCACAGGAGGGGTCAGACGGGGAGGGGTCAGGGCCTGGCAGGCTGCCCTGAAGCTGTCCCCTGCTCCCATTCCTGGGGAGAAGGGGCTGCAGCAGGGCTTAGGCCCTCCCTTCCCCCACAGAGGAGACCCTGTACGAGGCGGGGATCCGAGTGCAGATCCACAGCCAGGAGGAGCCGCCCGCCATCGACCAGCTGGGCTTTGGGGCAGCCCCCGGGTACCAGACTTTCGTGTCCTGCCAGGAGCAGCAAGTATCTTCCCCTGGGCCCCCAAATGCCCCCTCCCCCACCAAGACTCCCAAACCCCTCCTTTAGCCCACACCATCTCAGACCCCAACCCTCAGCTCTTCAGACTGTCCCGGGGCCTCCACCCCCCGGCGGAGTGACCATTCACATTCTCCCTGGGGGTCCCGTTCTTCCTGAAGGAGCTTTCTTAACCAGTCCCTCTACAGCTGAGCTTCCTGCCACCGCCCTGGGGCGACTGCAGCTCATCATCTCTGGATCCCGACTTTGAGCCAGAACCCTCTGGTCCCCTGGATCCCCGCAGCCCCAGCCCAGGCCCTACCCCTCCCTATACTCTAATGGGGTGTCGCCTGGCCTGTGAGACACGCTATGTGGTTCGGAAATGCGGTTGCCGAATGATGCATATGCCTGGTAAGGGGCTGGGGAGCCGAGGAGGGGTCAGATGGGGAGGGGCCGGGGCCTGGCAGGCCGCCCTGAAGCTGCCCCCCTCCCAGGCAGTTCGCCGGTGTGCAGCCCCCAGCAATACAAAGACTGCGCCAACCCGGCACTGGGTAAGGAGCAAGCCTCCTGGCATCCCGTCCCCACCCCACCTGGCCGGGGACCCCGACCTCGCCAGGCGGTCGGCCCTGACCCGGGTGATTGTGGCCCGCAGACGCCATGCTGCGGAAGGACACGTGCACCTGCTCCAACCCTTGCGCAAGCACGCGCTACGCCAAGGAGCTCTCCATGGTGCGCATGCCGAGTCGCTCTGCCACCCGCTACCTGGCCCGGAAATACAACCGCAGCGAGGCCTACATCTTGTGAGCTGGCCAGACCCGGGACTGGGACTGGGACCGGGACCGGGACCGGGACCGGGACCGGGACCGAACCAGGGCCGGGGAAGGGGCGGGCGCCCTCCTCTAGGCTGAGCCTTCTTGAGCACACTGGGGTGGGACATCACCAGGCTCTGGGATTCTGGACACGCTGCCTAACCTTTCCGATGCTGTCTTCTGCAAATGGAAGCGGCAATGCCCCTCCAGGGCTCTTGAAAGGAGTCACAGAGAATGAGCACCGGTTTCCTGCCAGCAGCTGGCACCAGGGAGTGTCCAGGGAACATTCTCGCCTCTTTTACCCTCCAGGGAGAACGTGCTGGTGCTGGACGTCTTCTTTGAGGCCCTCAACTACGAGACGGTGGAGCAGAAGAAGGCCTACGAGGTGCCGGAACTGCTCGGTGTGTGTACAGGGTGGCCCTAGGGGTCTGTGGAGGGGTGGGCAGAGCAGGTGGCTGTGAGCTGACTGACCGCTGATCCGGTGTCCGCAGGTGACATTGGGGGCCAGATGGGGCTGTTCATCGGGGCCAGCCTGCTCACCATCCTTGAGATCCTAGACTACCTCTGCGAGGTGGGCCCAGGGCCCCAGCTGCGGGGAGGGAAAGGAAGCCATCCATAGGCCCTGGGTGGGGGAGGTATGTGCTGGCCACCTCCCTCACTGCTTGCCCCCAGGTATTCCGAGAGAGGGTCCTGGGATACTTCTGGAACCGAAAGCGCTCCCGCCAAAGGCACTCTGGCACCAATCCGGTAACGGCCCCCTCTTCCTTCCCTGCCATCTCCACCTGGGTGCTCCGCCCCACCCCATGAAGCCTAGGACGCCACCCCTACCCAGCTGGGAAGAGTGGCAGGGAAGGGTATGCAGCGACCTTGGCTGGTCCCCAGGAGGGGGACCCCTCCCGTCCTCTGACCCTTTCTCCTCCCACAGTTTCAGGAAGGACTGGGCAGCCATCGAAACCAAATGCCCCATCTCAGCTTGGGCCCCAGGTAACATGAAATGGCCCCTCAGGTCAAGGGAGGAGGGGCAGGTCTGGTCCAGAAGGGCAGGGGCAGGAGCAAGGCAGAGTGTGAGGCCGCCTGTCCCAGCGCTGTGGCCTGCGTCTCGGCAGGCCCCCCACCCCTCCCTGTGCTGTCACCCGGACTCTTTCTGCCTCCCACCGCACCTGCTACCTTGTCACCCGGCTCTAGACCCGGCGTCTGTCTTCGGGGCTGCACCTCGGCTTCTCGGACACGCCCAGCCTGCATATGACTGCCATCTTTACCCCAAATAAAGCTGTAGTGCATCAGCCTCAGCTGTTCCTCTTACAAGCAGACTAGTCAGGCGCCAGACCTCTGCCAGCGTCGCCTAGAGGACACGGTGCCTGAAATGTGGGCAGGGTTCCAGGAACCTCCAGAAATCTCTGGCAGAGCAGTCATACAAGGGCACCAGTGAGAAAGAGTTCATCAGACGAACGTCTCAGAGAAGGGAGCCCACAGCCAGGTGTGTGGGCAGAGAGGAGTCAGTGGCAGGGCAGTCCCATTTGGGGGACAGTAAGGGAATGGCTGGAAGGCTCTGCCCCAGAGCCTGGTGAACAATGAAGCAGGCAGGGAGCAGACTCCCCACTCCGAGAAGATCATGACTCTCTCACATTTGAACCCACTTCTAGCACGCTCACTCCATCTCCATGGGAACAGACCTCTTTCCCCAACCTCCCGCAACAGCAGAGGCCCCAACTTGAGATGGTCAAGGAGGCCCTCGCTCCCCACTCCTGCCAGTAAGGACACACCCAGGCCCCGGCCACGCCTTTTCCCTGTTCTCTTTCTCTGCCCACCCCCCAAATATTAGAAAACTGACAAATGAGGGAGCAGGGAGGGGGTATTCCTGATCTAACCACATCTTTCGGTCTGTCCTATCCCAGCCTGCAGGCCTAGGTATGGGGGGACGGAGAGAGAAGAAACAGGGTGGGTACCCGTGGGACACAGAGAACCACAAGGAAAGGCTCGGACCTCCCCTCCGTGGAAGCCCACCCTTGCTCAGGCACCAGCTGCCTAACCCCTCGGGACTGTCTCAGGCAGAGGGAGGATGGGGGTCACACCAGTACACAAGAATGCGTGAGCGCAGCACTGCCCCTGAGCCCAGCCCCCAGCCTCAGGCCACTTAGAGAAGCACGGCAAGGACCGGACAGCTGGGTTGCGTTCCAGCTGGAAGCAGGGTCACAGAGCGCCGTGGAGCAGAGACACCCCCGAGCCCACCCCTCAGAGCCGCTCTACCACATCAGCCAGACGGTGGGAAAGGAGCCACTTTATGAAATTAAATAAAGTCCGTGGAGGGAGAGAGACCCCGGCGGGGGCGCCTCCACCCTGGCGGGCCCAGCACAGCTGGGGCTCAGCACAGCGTGCATCCCTCCCGGGAGGGCACCAAAACAGCCAGGCCGCAGCCTGGCGGCCAGGGGCCAGGAGCCTAGGGGGGGCAGAAGTCGGAGAAGTAGGGGTGCTGCAGGGCCTCCTCCGCCGAGATGCGCTGGACAGGGTTACACTTCAGGAGGTTCTGGAAGGAAGGCGCCAGTGGTGGGGTCAGGCCGGGACAGCAGCCGGAGCCCTGCCCTCCTCCAGTCCCATGGACAAGTGTCCTGACCGCCCTCTACCCCTGCCCTTGGTCACCTGCAGCAGGTCCCTCCCTGTGGCATTGAGCTTGGGTACAACGTTCACCAGGGACGTTGTGGCTGGGTACATCGGGTAGGGCTGTAGGGAGACAGGGAGTCAGATCAGGGGTGGAGGGTGTGGAGGCTGCTAGGGCTGAGAAAGAAGGGATGTCCCTGATGAACCGAGCCCCGTCACACCTTATAGTCTGGCAGCTTGGTCATGGCAGGCCATTGCTCCTCGGTCGGTGTCCCCAGCAGTGTGTCCACAGGGTCAAGGATCACTCAGTGCAAAGGGGCGGGGCGAGGGGCTCTTCCCCTCCTAGGGGGGGATCCCTCACACCCATCCTCGCCCTCCCCACGTTATCCCCCTGCTCATGACAGAAGTGGCCCCAACACATGTGACTCATTTTCAGTCCCACCTGCCTGGTGTTTACCGTGAGCCAGGTGCTATGGCTGCAAACGTTAAGTGCTTTGCCCTAAACCCCGATGTCCGTGGTCCTGACGACCAGCCAGCCTTCCCCGACTCCCACGGACCCTCCTCCTGCTCCTTCCGGCTCCTTGGACCTAAGGAGTCACCTCTCGGCTGAACAAGCATCCTCTTGGCTTCTTCCCCCAGGGAGCCCTCCCTGCCTACACGTCACACATTCTCCAGCTGGAACCATGCAGTTGCGCTGTGACACCCGAGGGGTGTCTGACACCCTCTGCCCTGTCCCTTCACACTCAGAAGCCACGCAGCCCCTCCCCATCCTGGCCCGCCCGGCCCATCGGCACCCTCACTGCCTGAACTCTGAACCCACAGCGGGTTCCTCCCCTTCCAGAGGCTGGAGGCGAAGGGAAGCGGGAGGATATCGGAAGATCCTCTTCAACTGGTCGTCCACGTCGTTGCCGGGGAAGAGGGGCCGCCCCGCATTGGCCAGCTCTGGGAGAAAGGGGGCGATGGAGGAGCTGACACACGCAGAACCCCTCATTCCCACGGCACCCTGTGCGCCCCATCCCCGAGGGCCCCACGCCCTGCCCCAGAGGGGACCCTCCAAACCCTATTTGTCAACTCAAACGGGAGGAAAAGTGCCTCTGCAGACTCCCCAGTGTGTCACCTGCAAAGATGCAGCCGGCTGACCACATGTCGATGGACGTGGAGTACAGCTTGGCCCCAAAGAGGACATCCGGTGGGCGGTACCACAGCGTGACCACCTGGAGAAGACCCCACCCACAGGGACCCCCCCGACTTAGAGGGCTGGGAGGAGGAGGCTCGGAGAAGAGGGGAAAATGTTTCGGATCCTGGAGGAGGAGCGGAGAGATGCTTACTGGGGACGCCCTCCCGCACCCCCGTGTCCCACCCCCCAGCTCACCTCAGCTGAGTAACAGCGAACGGGGATCCCAAAGGCTCGAGCCAACCCGAAATCGGCTAATTTCAGCTCCCCATTCTGAGGGAGATGGGAGGAACAGGAGAGGGGCTTTTTAATAGTGTCAAGGCCAGCCTCCCCAATCTCCCACCTTCTCCCTGACAGGTACCCTGTTAATGAGCAGGTTCTGGGGCTTCAGGTCCCTGTGCAGCACGTTGCGACTGTGACAAAATCCCAGGCCTTTTAGGAGCTGGAAGAGGAATGACTGGGGGAGGAGCGGGAAGGGTGGCGTCAGACCCTCTGGACAGGAAGCGGGGCCAGCAATGGCTCGCGCTCCCCTCTTCACCCTCTGCTTTGCCTCGAATCCACCTGTCTCTTTCAGCACCAAGCTCAGCAGGACATCATTCATGTACTATCGAAGACCTACGTTGCGTCACGCTAGATATTAGAAGTGAACAGTGAACGGGGGGCCTTGGTTCCCACCTTTCTGGATCTTAGAGCCCAGTGGGCCTCCTTACCTTCCCAGCCCACCCTGATCTCTCCCTGACCTGGCCTCATTTGAACACGTGCATGTTGTGACCGTCAACATATATATACTGAACTGCATCATCACTCAGCACTTGTTACTCCTGGAACCTGGGACAAGGCCCTTGGCCTTGGACCTGGAACAGTGCCTGGTGCACAGCAAAGCATTCAGTGAGCATCTGTTGAATGAACGAACGTATCTCTTTGAATCCGATTTTCTCATCTCTCAAGTGTAAGTCCTAACACTGAGATCGGAGCATCACTGTCAGGTAGAAGAGCTCATGTGAAAATGCTTGCTAAGATGGAGGCCCCTGGAGAGCAGAAACAGGGTGTTCTCAGTCCCTGACCCCCCGCTGTTTGGGCCTGAACTTGGTGCTCAAAGAGTAGGTACACCGAACACAGACTCCAGCCCCAGCCTCGACGAGTCCCCAGAACACCGGTCCCCTCACCTTCACAATTTCAGGATCTAGGTCACCATTGCAGCTGTCGAAATATTTCTTAAGGTCCTAAAAAGGGATGGGGGTGGAGGAAAGGGACAGAGTTTAACGTCGGTCTGGCCGAGACCCTCCCAAGATAACTGTTTCCCAAGTCGCTGTTTCACCTGGTCACAGAACTCAAAAACCAAAGTCAGCTTCTTGTCGCTATGCAGGACATCGTGAAGCCTAGGGAGAAGGAAGGGCTTGGCTAGACACGTCCACAAGCGATCAGCCCAGCCCATCGCTGAAGCCCCCACCTCCTCCAACTGGCCACCCAGGCAAGGAGGGTCCCGCTGGTCTACATACCTGACAATGTTCTTGTGCTTCAGCTCTTTAAGTAGGCAGATTTCCCGAAGGGCAGAACTCGGCACTCCCTACACACAGGAGGGGACCCGGATGGGCAACAGTCACATCCCACCCTGCCTAGGTCCTCAACCACCCCCCTGGACGAAATGCCCCAAGTCCTACCTCATCATCGTCATCCAGCCTCACCCGTTTCAGCGCCACGATCTCATGAGTCTCCCGGTTTTTGGCCTTGAACACTGTTCCGTAGGTGCCTAGAGGAGGGAGGTCAGGGGTGTGTGGGAGAAGGATGGGGCACCCTTCTCCACTCCAGGAAGTCCATCCCGGGAGGGGGAGGCATCACGGGAATGTGCCGTTTCTGATGCCTGGAGTGAGGAAAGAGGTTCAGGGTGAAGGCCGGGCGTGGCAGAGCTTTGTGAAGTGGGGACGTGGCGGAGAGGGGCCTGCTGACGCTCAAAAGAATCTGCAGCGGGGAGAGGCTGTAGCTGCCAGGGTAGGGGGTCTATAATAAAGGCGATGCTTTGGATGGGTCTGGAAATAGCGAGCAGGGGTCTGGGGTAGGAATGTTGGCCGGCAGGTTTGTTGAGGTCGGGGGTCTGCTGAGGAACTGAGGCAGGGGGTAGGACACGCAGGAAGTGCTGAGCTCCGGAGGTCGGGCCTACAGGGAGCTTGCTAAGGCTGGGAGAGGGTGTCCGCGGGAAATGCTAACGGGAGGATTTTTGACTGCACGGAGTGTTGAGCTCGGGGCCAGGGCTGGGGCCAGGGCTGCAGCCAGGGCTGCGGCCAGGGCTGCGGCCAGTGCTGAGGTCGGAGTCTGTAGGCACTGCTGATTAGGTAGAGGAGCCAGAGCTGCAAGGATTGCAGGAGATCTTGCAGGAACATCTCGTGGTCCCATTACCTTCCCCAATCTTCTCCAGTTTTTCGTATTTCTGCATCGCGGCAGCCGCGGGGACCCCTGAGGGCCCTGGGTTCTAATACTCCAGCGCCAGCGTTGCAGAGGAGGCGGCACCCTAGCCTCCGGCCCTGCCCCGCCCACCTGCCTGCGCATGGGCTTCTGGGACTTGTAGTCACAGGACTGCCAAGATTCCCGGTAACGCCCTGGGCTTTAGACAACAAAACTACAACCCCCAGCAGGCCGCGCTCAGGCTCTCTGCAGCACTCGCCTCCCCGGACTCCCGTTCAACCGCCCAGGCAAACCCTGGACTTCAAATCCCAGGAAGCATCACGCGTCCGCTTTCCCGACGCCTCGCGTAGTGCTGCGGCTCCCAGTGTGCCCCGCACTTATTTTTCTTCTGTGATCGCAACCTTCTTTTGAAAAGGTCCTCTCTGCGACTACACGTTCCAGAATGCAGCAGACGTGGGGGTGGGGCGCTCTGTGGAGTTTTAGGTTTGGCGGCCTACATCTCGGGCCCAGGTGGCCCCACTCTGAACGGGTTGAGGGGGTTGAGGTCCCAGCCACCTCCTGGCAATCTCGGCACGGGTTTCCACCTCTCCCCGGGCCATCTGGTGGCTTTAGGTTTGATTGGAGAATGGCTCCGAGCTATGTCTTTCTGATAATGGCTTTACAGGGACCAGCTGACCACAGGGCTGGGCAGAGAGGCAGGTGTGCCCCATTTGAAACTGGATTGAACATACATCAGAGACCATTTTTTGCCCTGGCCCCTGTTTGTCAGCTTGGAGCGCACCCGACTCCAGTCCCGGGCTGCAGTCACATCCTGAAGTAAACTAACTGGAGCGCTGGGAATCACTCTGTTCAGCCCCCACCCCCGCCCCCATGCCAGCCTCCAGAGCCCGGGCCCACTGGAGTCAGTTAGGGTGTGGCAAAGGGCTGGCAGGTTGGTTACTGCCCTCAACAGACAGAAGCACAGACAGATGGCTACACTTGCAGCAGCCTTGACCTCATCCTTTAAGGAGTTGATTACAGATTTTCTTGTGCTGCTCTCTAATTGTCTCACGATTGCATTTTTGAGGGCTGTGAACTGAACGAAAACAACCCCAAACAGCACTCCTCGGCGCGGGAACCAGAGTTGGTGCCAAACATGTTAACTCACTCGTTTATATCTGAACGTTTTCTGAATACGCGATGTTCATCCAGTGGCGGACTAGAGTAGAAGCGAAAAGTATATTTCTTATCTGGAAGAATTTATAATTTATTTGAAGAAACCAGAAATGTTTTTAAATGGCAGGTGATGACTATGAATAGGGTTCGAGGAAGGAGATGACATCAGGGAATTTCTCCGAGGCATAAGTTCCTCCAAATTCGGCAAGTCTAAGTCAGCTCAGGGTAATGGGCGTCCAACCTCCAGTTCGCATCACCCCTCTCGGCGCCCATCCTCCGCTCCGGTTTTCTTGGAGGAACTGGGAATTAGTGGGTGGTAGGGGGAGGAGGGCGCAAAGGGAATCTTGACCCCGATGTATTTACATTTCGACTTCCTCCGCACCGAATTTCTGATCATCTTTGTGTCTCTTTTCCTGCCTGGGATCACCAGCGTGAAGCGGGCTCCTTTCCGCCCAGAGGTGCCTAATGGGGCCAAGAGACTGCGTCTCCGGGGAGCCTGAGGTCCTTGCGGGGAGGCCCGGGGCGGGGGCATGGCGCTGCGCGGCCGCGGTACAGCAGGGGAGGCCTTCCGGATGCCGAGCTTGGGTGCTTGGTGGTGCCTGGAAGCGCGCTTCCGCCCCCGGGTCTGGGCCCCTGCTCCCCGCCTCTCCACCCGCTGCTGCGGGGCCGCGCACGGTGCGCCGGGGGGCGCGCACGCAGGGGGCTGGCCTGCCCGCGGCACGGGGGAAAGTTGAGTTGGGAGAAGTTGGGAGCGGCGGGGGCGCGCCCCGAGGTGGGCACGGAGGAGTTTTCGGGAGCGCGCGAGGGCGCCGGAGAGCGGGGAGAGACCCCGAGACCCCCGGTGCACGAAATCCAGAGCAAGCGGGTAAGCGGAGAGGTGGCGGCGGGGGAGGGCCAGGGCCGTGGAGGGAGGAAGGGAGGGGGAAGGAGAGCGGGGAACTCGGGACTCAGAGCTGGGAGGGAGTGGAAGTGGAGGAAAGGGCGGAGACTGGGGCGCGGGGAAGCGAGATCTTGGGGAAAAGGATGGGGAGGCGATCGTAGTGCTGGTCGGAAGCGGGATCCGGGGTCCGCTTCTTGGAGTTCCCTGAGGCGAGGGTGCCGCGCCCCCTGCCACCTGGAGGGGGTAGTCTCAGGAAGGCGCTGCCGGCCCTCCCAGCTCCTGGGAGACACCCATCCCGTACGACCCCTACTCTGTTCTTCTCCAGCCCGTCCAGAGCGCCCAGCCGGGGGCTTGCCTGGGGCCTCGCCCGCAACCTCCGGGTGAAGAAGAAGAGCCGCGAAGCGGGGCAGGGGGGTGGGATGGGGGCGGCGAGTCAGGTCAGGACAAGGGGTCAGGCAGAAGTGGGAGCAGCTGGGTGGGGATGGGAACGACGAGCCCCTAAGAGTTGGACCTGACCTCTGGGAGGCTGGGTACCGGGGGCGGTGCTGCCTGAAATCCCGCTCCCACCCCCGCCAACCCCACGTCGAAGAGCTGTGGAATGTGCGAATTCAATTGTGGGATGGTTAATGCCCAAGTGGGGGTCCAAGGTGCTAATCCCTTGGGCTGGGGTAAAGATGCTAATCCTCCGGGCCGGTCGGGGCTGGTCCCCGGAATGTGCCCCTATCCTGGATTATGGGCACCGATGCTCTGGACAGAAGCTGCTTTGTGTTCTAGGATGGCGGGGGAGGGGGCAGGAAGGGGTGTTAAAGAGGGGAGGGAGGATGGAGCACATTGAAGGCACAACCTGGAGGTGGGAGAGGGGCACCTGCAGGTGCTCGGGACACACCACACCCTTCCCAGACCAGGGTCCCTCCCCCCAGTGCCCTGGCCGAAAGCCTGCAGGGGGAGGTGAGGAGAGCCGTCAGCTGAGTTGAAGTGCTTGCCAGGAATGTGTCGCTTCAGGCTCCCCATCCTGTATTGAACCCCCAGACCTATATTGTTTGACTCTCCACGGACCTGTCTTTCCTTCCCCTGCCCCCAGGTAGCCGTAAGGCAGCCCTGACCCCTCAACAACACACTGGGGAGTTTCAGTACGGGGAGCTTCGGATGGCCCCCTGCACGCCCCCCACTGTGAATGGGTACACCGATTTGCACTGGTCGGGTTCCCTAACATGCCACTCTCCTCCCCCACCACACAGTGTTCTCCCCAGACACCCCTACAGTCACAGTCAGGAGGGCGTCAGCCCTGCCACTCAGATTTTCCTGGCCGGAGGAGTGGGAGGGGAGGGGAGGGATCAGGACTGTCCCTCAAGGCAAAACCTCAGGGTTTCTGCCACCCTCCTCCAAGTTCAAGTTTGTCACGTGCCCCTCCCCCATTATAAAGCTCTGCCCAGCCTGTGCACGCTGTCTTCCCTTCCTCCCTCCCACAGAGTGAGTGGAGTTGGGCTCCCGCCCCTCCCCCAGGAAGCCTGCACCCGTCCCTGTCTGGCCTTCATCAGGGGAGGGGGCATAGCCATGCTCCCCGTCCCCGCCTTGAGCTGTCTCGGGGACCCCCTTGCTTGCCCTTTTGGACTCTCTCCAGAGTTCTTTCTCCCCCTTCCTTCCCCCCCACTTCCCTGCTCCGTGGGGTATCACTCTGCCCAGCACACCCCTCCCTGATCTCAGCCCACCTCCGCATGCCGCCACTGGGTCACTGCTCCTGTTTCTGGCTCAGCTTGTCCCTTCCCTCCCTCTTTCCTCTATCTCACTGCGCCCCCTCCCCCCATCCCTCCTGCTTGCTCTCCAGGCCTGGGCCTTGACTCCGTTCTTGCCCCCTCTTTTTTTGTAGCTTCTCCCACCTCCCCTCTACCTCTCACTCCTTAGTCTCGGCCCCTTTTGGCCCCCGTCCTTGCGTCTGTCTCTCTCTGTTCTTTTTTCCCTATAAATAGCGCTCCTCTGCTCTCCCTGCCTCTAAGGCCACTCGAAGGCCCTTCGCAGCCCGAGAGGACCTGCACAGCCTGGAGACCCTTCGTAGCCAGCTGATAGGAAGCCCCCACGTCCTGTCTTCCTCGGGGCTGAGCGGGGACAGGGGCTGCGCGATGCCAGGGCGCCCCCCGCCGGCCTGGCGCAGCGCTCACGCGGTGATCGGTCCTCTCCCTGGCCCAGGTTATGCCTCCGCCTTGTTGTCCTGAAAGCCGCAGCGACAGCGAAAAGGGCTAAGATTTGGCCATGAGCAGTGCCCCCCGGCGCCCCGCCTCGGGCGCTTTCCGCACTGTGAGTATTGCCAGCTGGGTGGGTCACCCCACTGTCCCTCTTCACGCCACAGGTGCTCCGGCTGAGGATTCCCATCAGACGTACGTGTGTGTGTGTGTGTGTGGAGAGACACAGAGAGACAGAGAGACAGAGAGAGACAGAGAGACTCGGGAGCAAGGGGAACCTGTGATGGATTCTTGAGCGATGCTGCCCTGGACTTGCTTGGGGTTAAGAGTCTGGGATGGGTATTGATGGGGGGTCAGGAGGCCTCCAGCCCTGGGAAGGGACTTGAGGCTCTGTTTCCTGAAGACCTGGGTGGTAGCCTAAGTGAGAGAGGAACTTTGGGGATCCTGGGTCCCTAACCCAGTGGATGATGCACACCCCTCCACCCACCGGGCCTTAGAGACAGCGGCAGTCTGCGCACAGTAGTTCTGGGCGGGGTCACTGGTGACTAGCCCCACCCCCGAACCCACGTGCCACACAGGCCCGCCCCTCCCTCCCCTACGTGGTCCCCGCCCCCCGTGGCCCCCTCCTGATTTTACTAGGAAGTCTAATGATTAACCCCAAGTGCCATGATCAGCCCCTTATTGGTCACGGTGGCCCAGAGGGCACGTGACTGGGAAGGGGTGCTGGCTGGTCCCCTCCCCCTCCTTCTCAAGTTCACCCCTGCCGGCCATGGACTTCCTCCTGCGCCCTCAGGTGCGCAGGGTTCGAGACCTCCCTCCCCCATCCCGGCTAGCTCCCCGAGCTTTCTCGCTTCAGCACGCCCCCCTGCCTTCCTCCTGCCCGCGTGCTAATTCTGGTGAGAGTGGGGCGAGCGCTTGGGGGGAGCCGGGCTA